ATTGACGACTTGCAAAACTGACGGCAACATTGCCCGCAGGATAGCCTGGCACAATGTCAACTCATCGAGAGTATATATATATATATATATATATATATATATATATATATATATATATATATATATATATATATGTATGTAAATATATATATATAATTTTGTTGTGAAGATGGGGTAACCCTCCAATTTATTTAGTATCACTAGCTTTATATGTATTATAGCTGCAGGCATTACATATATCAGGATTCGGTTCATTATATAATAAAGCTTCATTAGAAAGGAAGAGTCAGTAATCGGCAATTTGTAATGAAATCGCCAGGTGGAATCCGGTCTGCACTGTTATATTTTTTCATTTATTTCCTTTTTAATTTATGTTTAAATTTTTAAATTTTTTATTATGTGTTGCTGTTGCTGCCATTTTTTCTCTTTTTTTTAAGAAAAGCTCTCTTTCAGTGACCGCATAGAGGTATGGAATTGTATACGTTGTATGTATGCTTTCAACGTATTTGCTGATCCTTGCCCTTAGCTACTGCATTAGCACAGATCGAGGTTCATTAATAAACTGAAGGTTGCCTGTGGGGCTTTCAGTAACGCTTAAAACTTTTGCCTGCAGCCTGATCGATTTTTGTAATCTCACTTTACATTTGCACCCAACTATGCGCATGGACGCACCTGCCGCATACAACACACACACACATACACACGCTCTCACACATACACACACGTGTACGCATAGAAAAGTCTTGTCGGGCTTCATTGTCTCTGCAGTTGTGGTCCAACTAAGCGGAAGCTGTTGGAATTTACCAACGTTTAAACTTTAATGCTGTGTACAAGAGTACTTTTTATTGCTGTTTTTTTTTTTGTTTTACCAACTTCCTATCTCTCTCTCTCTGTATCTCTGTCTCCCTTTCGCCTTCGTTTCTGGTATGCCTTAGTGAGCTTTAGATTTTTTGTTGTTTTGTGCTGCATGTCCTGCTTGTCTGCCCGCTCCAATTGAACCTAATCCGGCTGCTAAGTATAAGCTACGTAGTTGTATACTCATCCCAGCTGTCCAAGCGGCCTTATGCTGCTTTTGTTGTTTGCAGGCATTTAAAAAAGAAAAAATGAAAACAAAAAGAAACGAGTCCAGCAGGCAACAGCCAACGTAGAGGTGGCACCAACAACAGCCATGGCCAGCTGGGGGTCTGTAAAAAAAACTTTTGCCTCTGTCTGCAGCTGTCCCCCACTTAATAACTAGGCGTCAGTCCCGCTGTGTATGTGTGTGTGTGTGTGTGTGTGTGTCTCTGTCATCCTGTCGAATGCAGAAAATGAACGGCAGTCACTTGGTCATGTATACGAGGAGCATACTAATCTGTCCAGTCTATCTCATCCTCATCCTCATCATCGACGTGTTTTCCGTGCAGAGAGAGAGACAGAGAGAGACAGAGAGAGAGAGAGAGAGAGAGAGAGAGAGTGAGAGACAGAGAGAGACAGGGAGATCCGATCATTGAGTTTGGTCATCAGGCGTTTATGGGACTTCTTGAAGCTCGCTTTTGTTGTGTATACATGTATGTGTATGTATAGCTATTAACTTATCTATAGAGCGAGCAGCAAACAGACAGCACTGACAGTCTCTATCAATGAATGTCAGTTGGCTTCTTATTAATAAAATTAACACAAGACGACAGATCCGATCTGATACGATGTGATGGCAAGTGGCAGGTGAGCGAACTAAGGTTTATTCTCCCGTCAACATGGCGTATGATTGATTTTCTAGTCATAAACCATGGAAAGGCGAACAGCAGCTTGACAGCAAACTGTAAGCTGAACGTGCCCAGATAAATGCGACAAATATTAAACGGAGAGTAAGCTTCAATAATAATAAAAGTTATAAATCTTAGCATTGGCTGTCGACGCTCACGATGAGATGGAGATGGTGTATGAGAGGATGCGGATGTGGATGTGGATGTGGAGATGTTGGTGAATGTGGATGTGGACATTCAGTAAGAGCAACGAAGACGTCGACGACAACGACAACGACAGGCTGCATCGGGGCGATAATAACAATTTATTGCACGCACACAAAGACCAAAAAAAAAACATATATACGCATACACACAGACACAGTCTTACAAACACATGTGCACGGCTGCCAAGTGCCGGAAAATGCCGCGAGACACAAATGCAACAACAGCAGCAACAGACAAGTCGGGGCAGTACTGGGCGGTGCGGGGGAAGGCAGGCAGACGAGCATAAAAACCACACAATAATAAAAATGAACAATGACAGGTTAATAGCAAATAAATGAAAGCCCATAAGAAAGCGCAACAACAGCAAAAGGAGAGAAAAGAAAAACAAGAACAGACAACAAAAACAACAGCAACAACTAAAAGCGACAATGGCTGACACAGCGGCCAAATCGGAGAGGAGAAGAGCAGCTGCAGGATGGAAAGACTCTTGCGTCCACAGCGGCCACCAGCGAGCTATCCTCTTAGTCTAGGCAATTGATATATGGTTTTCAATTTTCAAAACCATTGACCACTTGCAGCACAACCAACGACATCAAGAGCAACAACAGCAGCAACAAAAGCAAATAGCCAAGTCTGAGCTAAATGGTGGAAAAATGCTGTGGAAAATTGCCACGAAGCGCCACAAGTTGATTCTGGCATATTTAAAGCATAACTACGGGCGTTAGAGACTCGTTAGAGGCCAGGCAGAGACATAGATAGAGCTAGATAAAGATAGAGGCAGAGGCAGACACTAAGGCACAGTCAATGGCAGCGTATACCAAGATAATGGCTGCAAGCGTACTTAACGGCTTCAATAATGACAATAATGGCCAACGACTTGGCAGACCGCCGCACCACAACCTGCTCGCCTCCGCAAACAGGTTGACAAAATGCATTCGGCATGCAGTGGCAAATATGCTGCCTGCCAATAATAGTCATCATCATTATCGTTGTGCAGAAGTGTGTGCGTGTGTTTAGGTGTGCGGAGATCTAAATAGGTTGCCAGCAAACTTAGCCAGCACACGCAGGCCCAGTGTTGCAATATCGTTTGGTTAAAAGTGAGTGCAGCAAGGTGTAGCAAGAGCAGCTCAATTTAATTGAGGCATTATAGTTATTGAAACTAATCCAACTGCTCAATTAAAAAACTAGTTAAAATTAACGTGCTATTCTAATTAACAGCACGAATTTTGAAATATTGAATGCATAAATAGCAGAAATATAATTAGAAATATACATATCCAATAAGCCAAAAACAAATTTGTTTTAATAAATTTAAAATTCGAAATGTGCAAAAACATATGCAATTGCATTCATTAACAAACATTGAAAACGCATTTTAGAAACAACATTACAAATATATTCGAATACATTTTTTTAGTTCAAGTCCTGTGCTGATAAAAATTGGCTAATTTTAGTGTCGCATTAAATTTGATTCAATTGGCAGACATTTTAAAGCCAAAGTTGGCTCTTGACTTGAACTGACAGAGAGCGGCGAAAAATCGATCACCTGTTTAAAGTTCAGACGCACACGAGAAGTGATAGAGCTGGGGGCTAAGAGCAGCAGCAACAGCAGCAACAATGGCGGCTACTTGGCAGCTGTGCCAACGGCTGGGTGAACGCATCAGTCAATGTCCTTAGAGTTTAACAAAGAAGGACAATCCGACAGCATATAGGACGAGGCAGACACCGGGCCACTTTACAAGCCAAATTCAACGCTTGCTTGTTGCCGCTGTTGTTGTTGTTGTTGTTGTTGTTGCTTGCACTGCGCCTTTGTCTGTTTGCTTTTTGGAAGGACAAGCATGACGACAACTGCTACTCTTAGTCTCCCATTGCGTCGCTCCAATTTTTATATTTTTTTTCTTTTGGCAATTTGTTACTGCATCTTACAACGGATTCAATTGAAAATTTTTTGCAGACAGTTGAGAGGCGACGAGCGACAAGCAACGAGCAGTAAGCAACGCAGGACGAGCGTTACAAATTTCAAAACAAATTTGCCGCAACGCAACAGCAACAAACTTTTGCGAAAAGAAGAAAAACTTCAATTCGATTCGATTCATTTCGTTTCGATTTTCAATTCTCGCTGCTCTCAGCTGGTCAAGTGTGGACGTGCTTTTAAATATTCCGTATGCGCCACATTATCCAATGCAATTCAACTTGGCACAATTGGCAGTGTCTCGTCTACGTTGTCTGCTCGTCTGGGCCGCACTGTCTTCGGCTGTTTGCTTAGTGCAGTTTTCACTTTGTGGGCGTTACACAAAAAAATATAACAAATAGCAGAACCACCCCCAAACCCCTGGCTTATCCTGGCACTGCCTAACTTTCTTCTGCTATTTACTTTTGCCCTCCACAGTGTCTGACTTGACGTTAGTTTTGTTTGCTTCCCCTTTGTGTGCGTGTGTGTGTGTGTGTATTTGTGGGTGTGTGTGTTTGCCTTTCGTTTAGTAACGGGTTTGACAAACTCAAAATCAAAATCAAATCGTTGAACCAATGCCAAAGTGGAAATTGTCAATAATTTCAAATTGATTTCTGTTTGATTTAACACAACAACAATATAAACAAAAACAGCAGCAACAACAAATAGAAGTAAGCACCTCTATAATTGAAGCACCAGGTACATAGGAATGCCCGGCTAGTTGCGTCTATTTTGAGCGGCGAAAGTGGAAAAGTCAAGTTTGACAGGCGCACGCGGATCTCGTTGCTTCGAAGTTCCCAAATAACATTAGACAGCCATTATGGGCTTGGCCGACTTTTACGACGCATCATAAAAAGCATTACTTGAACTGCGCCTGCCTCGTAAAACTCATGAAGTGCAGGCCAATAAAATCAAATCGATAAGTGTGCCCAAAGTGTTGGAATAGCTCGTAAGCTAATCGAAATAAAGCAAGATCCTATGCCTAAAATATGTACTTAGTAATTATATTTTATTATTCACTAAACCAACTATTTAATAGTAAAAGCTATCATTTGCTTATTTAATCAAATTGATGATGACTATTGAAATTATTTGCTTACCCTGCTTGGGCGAAATGCTGAGCACCTGCTGCGGCGACTGTTGCTGCGAGTGGATTTGGTATTGTTGCTGTTGCTGCTGTTGGTGCTGCTGCTGCTGCTGCTGTTGCTGTTGCACGGCAACGGCCTGCTGCTGGGCGGCACAGACGGCAGCGGCAACGGCGGCCTGTTGTTGCTGCTGTTGATGATGAGCGGCTGCTGCGGCAGCTGCTGCAGCGGCTGCCACAGCCTGTTGCTGCGACTGCTGCTGATGGGGCGACTGAGACTGTGGATGCTGCTGCTGCTGCTGAGTGGTGACAATGGACATTTGCTGAGACGACTGCTGCTGCTGTTGCTTCACGTTGGCCTGATGCTGCTGCTGCTGCGGCTGTTGCTGCGGTGCTGGTGCCTGTTGCTGCTGTTGCTGCAGGTGCGTCTGGTGTATGGCCAGCAGCTTGGTCTCATAGGGTTTGGCGCCCACCGACAACGGCTGACTGCTGAGCGTCATCTGTGCGGTTGCTGGCATCATAAGCGTGGGCATTGCCAACATTTTATTAAATTGCACCTTAATGTGCTGTCTCTTTTCACTGGTGTATTATCTGTGTTGCTGCTCCTGCTCCTGCTCCTGCTGCTGCTGCTGCTGATGCTGCTGCTGTTGCCGTTGCCGTTGAGGTGTTGCTGTTGCACGTTTTGCGGTTAGACGCAATTCGCTTTGATGTTTAATGAAGTGCCGCGTCGCAGTTGATGTTTATCATCAAATTGTGTTATAATTTAATGGAATAATTTTCAGAGCTGCTTTTTATTTTTGTTATTTTGTTATTTTGTTTGTGTGGGGGACCGCACTTTTAATTGCTGTTGTTGTGGTTTGTTGGTTTGTATGTTTGTTCTTTGAATGTTATATGGGAATCATTTGATGCGTTAAATGATTTCTACAATTTTACTAATTTCAAAAGGTTTCTCTTTGCGGTTTGTGCTCGCAAATATTTTCAGCTTTTGCTTTTTACAACTGGTTTTCTTTACTTTATTTTTTAATTTTGCTTCACTTATCACAGACCAATAAGATTTTTTTTCTTTTTAAAAAAGTTCAAAGTTTCACGCTAAAATATAAATTACAAATAATCCAGTTAAAAATGAATTGCAGACTGTCATGAAAAAATAACACAATTGAGCTAAAGTAAATAAAGTTTGAATTAAAAAATTGCCTAATTGATAAGACTCAATATTCGGATTTTATTTATTTTTTGCTATTATTATTGTAATATATTTCTCATCTTTTCACTGATCTGATTATCTGGCAAATACTAACAACTGCCATTGAAATAACCCTTTCTCTCTGTTGAATTCACAAACATTTTATTTTTTTTGGTAATTGCACATTTTATGCTTCAGTTTTATGTGCTTTCTGGAGCACAGACATTACATTCTGGGCACGAGCATTATCATATATCAAGCCTAAGCCATTCACACATCATTTGAAAAATTAAATTTAATATTTTACGATTTGTGTGTGCTGTGTGTATTCTCAGCGCATACAAAGCAAAACATGGTCTCACAAAAAATAAAAATTATGCGAGGCGAGCCAAAAGAGCGCGTAACGCAATGCGAAGCTGTAACAGACACAAGCACACAGAGAAAGCGGAGCAAAATAAAAAAAAAATTATAACAATAATAATAAAAGGCAACTGAATACAAGCGCTGTGGATTTTATGAGGCAGACGCGCCCAAGAGACTGACAACCGACAACCGACAGCAGACAACAGAAGCCAGAAACCAGAAAACAGCAAAACTCTGAAACTCCAAAAAATCGCACGAGCCAAGTGTTGGCAAGTGTCAGGATCAGGCGCTGCCACAGCCGCAGCCGTAGCCTCAGTCGGCGTTGTCGTCAGTCTAACGTTTCCGGTTTTTATAGCGCAGCGCGTACAAAACCCACACAGACAGTGGGACAGACGGACAAATGTTATGTATAAATATAAACTTATATTTTTATTTTTGAAAGCCAAGACTCACACATACAGACACAGACGCAGTAAAAAGCGACGAGTGTACCAAAAATGCTAACACAAAAAACCCACACACAAATATATAAAAAAAAATTACAACACCCAGCATTCGCTGTCATCCAAGTGATGTGAATGTTTGTGAGTGTATGTGTGTGTGTGTGTGCTCGTGTGCCTGAGTGTGAGTCTATATATGATTCATACACACAAATGCAACTGGCCCTTTTTGTATGGATACACTGTGTCGGCGGCAGTCGGCGTTGGCTGGCTGGAAGCATTTATTGGCTGCTCGTTGTCGGTTTATGTGGCACATAAGCCGAACTCACAGAATGTGTGTTTGTTGTTGCCGTACATAATGTGGCCAGAAAAAAACAAGAACAACAACAAGCAAATACATGCAAGCCAAAAATCGTTGAGCTCTAACCAAAATCGATGCTCAGTTTTGGGGAAATTTAAAAAACAAATAAATACTGAGTTTATCTTGTAATCTATTTAGCTATGCAATGTTTTTCATTTTTGACCTAAAACACTATAAAACACGTTTAAGAAACTTTTATTTATCAGCCGAAACTTTAATTGCCCCACAAAGTATGCAACTCAATTTTATATACACAATTTCACTTTTAAAAATAGTTCAACTTTAAGTTTGTGATGTACGAATTTAATTTTAATGACACCGCCTATTAAGTAGAAACTTCTGATAAGCGAATACTTCAATCTTACAAAAAATTAAAGAAATTTAAATATTTTCTTAAAAGTTAAACTAAATAATTAGAAATTGTTATCATCATTATTTACATTTGCCAACTTTATTTAGCCAGTTATGTTTTTGTTTATATATTTCCGCTTTTAGAATGTTTTATATTATTTATTTTTGCAGTCGCTTTTGCCGTTTATATTATACGCGTCGTTAACTGCTGAATCGTCAGTTTGTTTTTAGGTTTACATTTATTTGCTTTTGGGTGATTTGTATTTGGTTTTCCGTCTCCAAGTTGTTGCGTTTGCAGATAGGTTTTTTTTTGTTGGATGTTGTTTTTTTTTTTTTTTTGGTTTGCTTTGGTTTGTTTGGAAATTATAATAACAACTTAACAACAATGTAACGAATATCCTTTCTTTACGAGGACACAATTCAAACTGAATGCGAAGCGCGCTCGTCGGTCTCCCAAATAGTCAAAGACATCGTCCGATGAAATTTACCACTATTCTGCCGGCGTCGCAGTCGCGCTGCCTTCGCTCCGAGTCCTTGCGTGCAAACGAGTCGCCTTCTCATCGTCCTCGCCAGCTTCGTTCTCGACTACACTCAGGCCTGCGCATTGCCACATTCGAAATGATTTGTGTCTGGGCTTAGTTCGAATTTTCCGAATTTTTATAGCAAGCAGGAAATTCCCCCAGTATTTCAGCTCGTTTATGGAACTTTCAACTGTTATACAAAGACAAGCACTTGTGTTGCACTGTGAGATGTTGCATGTGAGACATTGTCCAACCTCAACTCGTACAACAAATGCTTTTAGCTGCTTTGCAAACGAGAGCATCCACAGCAACGGCAACAATGCCAAATAGTAGACAAGCCAACGAAGATACACAAACAATCAAACACACTTTCGCACACACTCATAGCACACATAGCACATGCTATTGTTTATGTGCTTGAGAGCCAATAATCCACTTTTGTTTTGTTATCATTCGCGCGCCCCTTGTCCAAACGCCTTGAACCACCCACGAAGACAGCAGTCGGTGGGGCAGCGAGCTAAGCGCCTTTGCCTATGCCACAGCCACTGAAACTGCCACAGCGAGTTGCCTTCACCCGTCTCCACTTAATTTCTACTTGATTTGTCGCTTAAGAAAACTAATTGTCTGCCTTTTGTTGAGCGTGAAAACAATAGAAAACATTTTAGCAACTGTTACTTTAGCCAAAAGCGTATTAGAAACAAGAGAAGAGCAAAGCAGAGCAGAGAAGCGAAGCGAGTGGATGTTGTGGAGGTGTTGTGAGTTGGCTAAGAAAATGTTCGTGGCATAGCCTGTAGCAATGGCTGTGGCTAAGACGAAAGTGGCTAACGAACTGGCAGTCTGGCTGGCTGGCGGCTTTAATGGTCTTTTGGTCTCTTTGATGGCAATAGTTTTGCGCCGCATGATTGGGCCAGCAGAGCCCACAAGGTCATTTGCTAACGGCGGCAATGCAAATGTAATTTCAGAGCCAACATAGTTCATGGTACGAAGTTGTAATTTGACAATATGTATAACAATTTCCATTCTGTTTATCGAATTCCTCAGTCTGCAATTGTTTTGATTATGTAACATTCATTTGGCTTAAAACAATTACAGAGATTATTAGCAGCTGTGTGCGTAAGCCACATGGCAATAGAAGTTAGTTTCAGTGCAAAACTTCCCATATAGATATACATATACATATGTCTAGTTTTAATGTTGACATTCATTTTCAATTATGAAATTATTAACAATGTTTGAGCACCACTGCACTTAATTCAGACGAATGAACAGCATAGCATCAAATTTAAAGCTATGAATATTAAATGAATTCACAAATATTTGAAGATAGTATTTCGTTGCGGCCAAATGATTAATAAAGAAATTAGCAATATGGTATAAGAAAATATAGTGATGGAAAAGATTCAACAAACAGAATAAATTATGCTTTTCTCCCTTGTTGACAACCGCCATAACCCAACCTAACCTATCTGGTTTATGTTTAACAAATTAAATGTGTAGGATGATAAAATTGATCTGCTGTACAAGAGCCTGATATATTATTATTTGATTAAAGCTGAATCTTACAAATGAACCACTAAACTAAATACATTTAAGCAGAATTTTAAAAAATGTGTCTAAATATTGCTTAGGAGTTTGCCGTGCATAAGGAAACTTACCGCTGTGATAAGTTTGTTGTCAGTTGCAGTTGAAATACAGGGCGGCTAATGTTCTGTTATCCATGCACGGCTGGGCGAGAGGAGGAGAGGACCCTTCTGCATTTGCATTAAATGCCAAAGTCCTCGAAGTTGACGGCCACAACAATAACGATAGCAGCATGGCGACAAACATATTAACAACTTTGTGACTAAATGCAAGTATGTATGCAACAGCAAAAATTTATGTTAGCTGCAAAAGACACACACATACAGACACCGTTGGTGGCAGGCACGCACAAAGCTATGCGGAGGCAAAGAACTCACGTGAGCGATTAAAATCTGAAGGAAAGTATTTTTGTTTTCATTTTTATTTTTTTTTAATTCTGCTGCTGCGCCATGGAGGGTTGTTGCCGCTGCCGAGGTGTAAATGAGCAGAGAGTTGAGCGAGGAGAGGCGACGCTGCCACGGAAGGGTTGCTCAGCAGCGGCGTGTAATTGGAGGCGAGTGTCGTGTAAAATGTAAAACTTGCGCCGTAAATAAATCAAAACTTTCTGACTGAACAAACATTCAGGTGAGCGAAAAAATGCACCGTACGACGGCAACAGCCGCCAGCTTTGAGCGGCAGGCAACAAGCAGCAGGGAGCAGGCGACTGGCTGAAGTGTATGTAGCAATAGCAGCAACCTAAATGCGGGCCTGGGGGCAGGCTCTGCTCACAGTTTCATATTGACAAGTGCGCCCGAAGACTTTAGGGGCGGGGAGTGGAGTGTTTATGGAGGCACATGAACGAG